GCTCATCTGCCTCCATTCTTGCCCATCTCATCCCATTATTTACCCAGTAGCCTGAGTCGTCTTTTAAAAGTAGAAGTCAGATTATGTCATTCTCCTGCTTAAAAGCCTCCAATGGCTTCCCACCACTCTTAGAATAAAGCCCAACCTCCCACCATGGCCCTCAAGGCTTTTCATGATAAGACCCCTGCCAACATTTGCTCATTCATTCCTACCCCACTCCTTTATCTGGGCATCTTGGCTTTCTTCTGGTCTTCAGACACAATAAGCTCATGCCTACGTAAGGGCCTTTGCACATGCTGGAAACATCTTCCTCAGATTCTTCCCATGACTAGCATCAACCTGTCATTCGGACCTCAGCTCCAAGTCACTTCCTCAGAAAGGCACCCACTGCACCCTGGATTGAAACTGCCCTCGCCTATACACGCTCCACACCATGGCTCCGTTGCATTTACTTTATAGCACTTAACATTGTCTCTATTTCTTAACCTATTTGCTATTTCCCTATCCCACTATAATTCAGGCTCCATGAGGGATATCTGGGCTGTTCTCCACTGCTTCCCCAGCCCTAGAATGGGGACTGTAATGTAGTAAGTGTTCAATAACTATTAATTGAATTAAAGAATTAACTTGTCTCATCCTTTTCCCCTGCATCCAAGCTGGGTGAAGCCTGGCCTGGCCCCTAGAAAGAGAGAATTTGATTCTGGAAACCAATTCTTACCTCCAGGATCAGGCCACCTCCAGGTGGCCTGGCCATGCAGGTGATGGCAGTCATGGGGTGAGGCAGAGAGCCACTGGAGAAAAGCCAGGAGGCCCTTTGGGGTTCCCTGCATTCATAGAAACAAGCATCCCTTGGATCCATGCCCCCAACTCTGCAAAGCTGAGTGGAAAGGATGAGCAGAACACAAGGCATCCTTTTGGTGCCGCCAAGGCTTCTGACACCCCATCCTGACTGGAGAGACACTTGGGCACAGTTCTTGAGTTGGCTTCAACTCCACCCTCACTCCTGAAAATGCATCTTCCTCTGCTATGGAGGCCTCTGTGCCATGGAAAGGACCACCAGACCTCTCTGGGTGAGGGCTCTGTGTGTCAATCCCCTACGCCTTAGCAAGATCTGGAAGGCAGTAGCCACCTTCCCGCAGGCAGCCAACGTCCTAGAGATACAAGGTTGTCTGTGGCATGTGTCCACTGTCTATTCTACTGCTTCCTGGCAACAGAAAATGTCATGGTGGTGGCAGCCAGGGGGACAGCTTCCTGGTTCCTGAATTGCAGCACTGGTCGGCGGTGTGCTCTGGAGCACAGGCATTTTCTCAGCAGCTTTTGAGGTAGTGGCACCGGCAGGTCAGTTCTGCAGTGTCCTGGAGGTCATTCCCGGAGGCCCAGCCTGGCGGCCGCTTCTCCAGCCCTTCCAGTGATTTGTAAGTGGTGATTCCTTGCAGTAAGACTTTTTCTCCTCAAACCACTGATGGATGCAGAGCTACTCCATGGTACGGACTGGTTCACATAGGCCCCTGTATCCTCAGGCCCAGCATGCTTGGCAAAATGTTTGCTAATGCCTTGTGACTGAAAAGGAATCACACACTTGCACACACAGTTTTAATATTATCAGTCATATAAGCCCCCGAGGCAGTTCCTCTGTTCCAGACAAATGCTGTTCATAACACTCTTACCCTCTGTTTCATTTTCCAGCTCAGTTTGGAAGCCTGACCTTGTCTTTCTCTGCCTCCTACTGAGAGTTATTATTGGGACATACTGAAGGGCGAAGGCTTGAGTCACAAAGTCGCAGGGATATCTCCCAGATGTGGCAGTTACTGTCTGTATGACACTGAGCAAATTAGTTACCACTGGGACTCAATTTCACCAGTCTGCAAAAACTGTCAGCTGCGTCTAGCACTAGGGGCGCTGTAGCATGGAGTACAATCTGCACCTAGGGGCTTAACGCAGTGCCTATGCATGCCCGGTGCTTGCTAAATGGAAGATGCTGTCAGCACTGTCTGATTTACCTGAAGGAACAGTTCACACTCCACCCAGATGCAGCAGCCAAGAAAGAACTTCTGGGAAAGCGCCTGCTTCCATCCAGCTCCCAAGAGGGGTTGGTAGAGGGTGGAGCCGAGAGCCAGCCTCCCCTACCAGCCTGCAGAAAGAAAGCCATGTTTTAGCCTCAGGGAGGAGAAACCCAGATAGAAACCACCCCATGTATAGCCTTTGCACAGCCACTGGACCAGCTCCACAGGGAGAGGGAAGAGGCCTCCTCTCAGGGGTGGGGAGCTGACAACAGGACAGACCTCTTCTGACTCAGCCCAAGGAGGGCTGGAGCCAGGGCCACAGGGTCTCTGCTTTCTGCTACCAGGGCAGGGGAGAGTCGTTAGCCTCCCAGAGCTTCTGCAGATTCACCTATAAAATGAAGATAATAGCATCCTCCTCTCCAAGTCACGGCCTTAAAGAGGTGCTTTAAGTTAGGCAGACCCAAGGCGGCTGTTGCTGGTGCACTGGGACTGTCGGCCGGAACTCCTGCAGCCTCCAAGGACCAGGAGAGAAAGGCATAAGGTATAAGGCCCTGGGCCAGGTTCTGGCAGCTTATGGTCACCCTTTTCTTGTGTCTAGACAGGAGCACTATAGCTACAACCAGCTCATCTAATCCTCACTGCCGCCCTATGAGGTAGGCATTCTTTTTTTTTTTTTTTTTTTTTTTGAGATGGAGTTTCACTCTTGTTGCCCAGGCTGGAGTGCAATGGCACAGTCTCAGCTCACCACAATTTCTGCTTCCCGGGTTTCAAGTAATTCTCCTGCCTCAGCCTGCTAAGTAGCTGGGATTACAGACATGAGTCACCACACCTGGCTAATTTTGTAGTTTTAGTACATACAGAGTTTCTCCATGTTGGTCAGGCTGGTCTCAATCTCCCGACCTCAGGTGATCCGTCTGCCTTGATCTCACAAACTGTTGGGATTATAGGCATGAGCTGCCACACCCGGCCTGAGGTGGGCATTCTTATTGCCCCAGTTTTGATATAGGCACAGAAAGGGGAAGCTACTTCCCATATTCACACCACCAGTAAGTGGTAGGACTGGGCCCTGACAAGCACAGCTTGCCATGGGGAAGGGAATTCATCCCCAGCTCAAAACCCCTGCACCCTCACCCAGGAGTTCCCAGCCGATGCCAACAGGGTTGTGACAGCACCCCTGTGCCAGGCCTCCACCTTGCCTGCTTGCTGCTGGGCCCCAAGGCTGCCCCCAGGCTGCACCTGTGGGGTGTGCCACCTCCTTGCCTTCCTCCTGAGAAGCTGTTCCCACCCCCTCGCCTTCCTCCGAAGGGAAAGCGTGCTGCCAGGCAGCTGGAGCCAGATGGCCCAGAGACAACTCTTCCTGTCACACGCCCTGCAGCATCTGAGTCCAACTCCCAATCCCAGAGCTGGCAAGCTGCCCAGAGCCTCCCAGAGGAGGCCTATGGGTTAACTTCACATTGAGTATTTTCAGCATATGATAAAAAGAAAATAGTTTTGTTAGATTTACAAGTGTGATTTCCCCTTTCGGAAATGCCTTCGTCTCTCTTCCATGTGGTGAGCTCCTATTCATACTTCAAAACCATTCTCAACTAATCTCTGCCCACTCATTTCCTTCCACCCCTCCCCTTCTAATGTGAGTGTGTCCCAGGGACGACGTCTGTGTTCCTCACCGAAGTTGAGAGAAGTCTAAATTTGCTCTACATAAGAAAAAAGAATAAGGAGGTAAACAAGAAATGGAAGGAAACTGGGAAAGACAAGGTGGTGGAAGGACTTGTGGGAATGCTGTGGCCACCCCAGCAGGTAAGGAACTTGAAAGCCAGGACAGGTATGTTTAAGGGGCTTTGAAGAGTGCAGAAGATAGGATGCAAGACCTCTTCAGTCTCCCCATGAAAACCATAGTCAAAGTATGCATTCCTTACCCATGCTTTGGAGCTTGACTTGGGTTTAATGCTGTCTCATTTTGTTTTTATTAAAACAATATTCCAGGCTGATAGAATTTAGCAACAAGGAACATAATATCTGACACAAACATAGCATAAGCCTTGGTACTTATCGTCTTATGTAGCAAGAGATCAGGGTTGAGAACTGTGGGGCAGCTCTGTTACGTCCAGCCTCTGGGTGGTTTCTGGGATTCTGTCTGCTGTCCCATCAATACGCATGGGGTGGCTGTGTCTGCTACAGACATCACAGCCTCACAAAACCAAAGCCAGAAGGAAGAAAAAATGTGTGTCGCCTTCACCTTTCCACCCTTTATGTGGGGAGGAAAATATTTGCCAGGTGACCTGCCTTTCCCTCCTCAATGCCCCTTTGATCAGAGTCTGGTTCTATATCCCTGTCCAGCTGTGGGTGGTGCTAGCAAAAAAGGTATCTGGGGTTTGCCAGTCTGCTGTGGGAGCCAAATAAGAAGGAAGTGAGAGGTCTGCCCCCTGCTTGTACTCCTCTGCTGAGGGAGAACGTCCCGCTTCTGGATACCACCCTTTCCCATCATACAATGGGCTGCAGTGTTAAGAATTTCTCCCACTGAGTCACTAGAACCCGGGAGGCAGAGGTTGCAGTGAGCCAAGATGGCACCACCGCTCTCCAGCCTGGGCAACAGAGTGAGACTTTGTCTCAATGATAATCATAATAATAATAATACTTTCTCCTATTGAGCCCAAGGTGCTTTCTGGTAACTTCTCTTTGATCCAGTCCTATCTCCTGCATCTTTCTTCAGCAACCCTGTTCTCCACATCAGCCACCAGAGGAAACATCTTAAAACAGAGGGCTGGACTGGCCATGCCATTGCCTCTGCTAAACCCCTCAGTGGGTCCGTAGTGACTCCAGGATAAAACCCAAGCTTCATGGCATGGCATTGGAGGCCCATCACAGTTTTCCTTCAGTCAAGTCTCTCTTCCTTATTCTTCCCCTACATATATATATAAACTGTATATAATATATCATACATATTTTTATATATAATATATATTTTATGTTATAAAATATATTAGATATATTATATAATATAAAAATATATATTTTATAACAATATATAAAATATATATTATTAAAATATGTATATTATATATAAAATATATATTTTACTGTGCTATCACTGATCTCAGCCCTTCCTTTAACTGACCCCTTCCCTAGCCTCGTAGATGAGAGTCCAGCCTGCCTTATGGATCCCTGAATTTGCTCACTGTCACTGCTGGGAACATCCAGGCAGGATCCAGTCCCACTCATAGGAGAGGAAGGCAAAGGGCACTGTCCCTCTAGCCCCTCCCCTCCCCTCCCGCAGGACAGATCCTCCTGCCTTACTCCATCTGCAGATGCTGGCAAAGCCGGTTCCAGACCTCTGAGGCAGGGAAACAGAATCCATTTAAGGGACTTGTGGGAAAGTGGCCTCATTTTACAAGCAATTGGGTTGTGAATCGAAGCGGGCATTAAAGTTTACAAGCTACACTGGCGAAGGAGCCAGCAGACCTTGCAGCTACTGCCTGTTAGGAGGCATCTTCCCCAGTTACTCAACAGTTGTGTGGAGTGTGTGAGAAGCCAGCACAGATCCTGCCCTCCACACCTGCTGGTGGAAGAAATGCCCATTGTCTTCTTAAAACCGAGGAGGGGCTGTGGGAGGGCACAGGATCACCTGTCTCCTGACAGGCTTTCCCCTTCTCTAGCGTTATGCAAGAATCTGGGAGGTTTTAGGTGATGCCGAGAAAATGGGGAAAGAAATACATTCAGAGACCTCTGCTCACAGCTGGGATCCCCACGCAGCTGAGACATCTCCAGGAAATCACTTGGGTTCAATGGCGGAACTTACCACTTCAAGCTGTCACCTGGTGGGAGAGGGTGGTGGCCGGAAGTAACAAGTTCTCCCGAATGGATCCAAGCAAAGAGGAGGCCTCCTCATTTCCTTCTCAGCCAAGCCCACTAGGGCCCTGGAAGACAGAGATTGCTAGGACACCCAGGGTCTACTTGGGCTGAGCTCCCCAGACCTGGTGCAAGGAAGCCAGGCATTCCTACCAAGGCTCTGTCACTTACCCAGCAGGACTCATGAGCTCAGCACCTTTCTGGACTTGAGGAGATGGCTCTGTTTTTGCCCTTTTCCCTCCATGCTTCCTCCTGTCTCTGCCTCCCCACTGACAGCTGCCTCTGCCATCCCCCAGGACATCCCACTCTCTTCTCAAAGGCTCAGGCCTGAGAGGTTGCTGGTGGGCAGATTCCATCTCATGGTTGAGCTGTTTGGTCTCAATGGCATTCTCTCTCTCTCTCTCTCTCTTCCCCTTTTTTTTTCCCCAAATTGAGCCATCTTCTTTCCATTGAGGTTTTCATATAAAAAAGCAAGTTGCTGGGTTCTCTTTAAAAGTAGGGCAATCTGGCAATTCTGGGCTTGTGTAGAAACAATTAGATAGAGCTAAAAACAGAGGCTTTTGACAAAGCCTGAGCTCCCAATAGCCAAAGGACTTTTCACCCCTTTAAAAAAGAACCCTTCCTGTGCTCATTTATATCAACTCCTGCCCTTGCAGACATGTATTGTAGGTTTTAACTAGAAACAAGAGGATTAGCTTTATTTAAACAGCAAAACTGCTTAAATGAGATAATATGTGTATTTGGAATGGTGCCTGGCACCTAACCTAATCCTTAGTTAATATTTATTGTGCAAATTATCTCGATTATTAAAAAGACAGGCCAACTGACATAACAAGAATACTAACTCAGAGCTGGCACTTGAGGGCTCAGTAGAATATTCCTGGCTTGGAGGGGGGGCTATGATATGAGCCCATATAATCAGAGAAGTTCAAATGGGACATGAGAACCACCTGGTAGCCTAAATCCAGAGAAACAAAAATCAGACTCAGGCTCTAAAGCTGGCAAATGTTCATTTTTGGAAATTAGAAAGTGATGGTGTGTTATCCCAAGAAACCCCTGGGACAACATGCAGTGAGCATCCATTCACAGAGACCACCTTGAACCAGGCTCTTTCCCTACGTTTTGTTATTATAGCCTCACTACAACCTTGTGAGGTGGAAATTAATATCCCCATTTTACAGATGGATAAACTATCTAGTGAGGGTGACATATTATTGCAATAACCACAAGAATAAATATAAATGAGATAAATTCTCTCTGAAGGAAAGGAACGGGGATTTACAATGGTATAAAACAAAGAAAATGGGCCTGGTCTAAGTGATGAGGGAGTGTTTCTTTAAAGAACTGATATTTGAGCTGAGATCTGAAGGATTAAAAGAGTGTTACATTGGAGAAGATTGGGCAGGAGGGAAATACTCTCCATGGCCCTCAATCCCAGATGCACAACTTGAACCACTTGAGGTTCACACACACAAGGAGAGTATCATGACCTGGTACAGTCTCAGTCTAATTAATCAGTAGAACCCAGGTACCAGTGTTTTTATTTTTATTTATTTATTTATTTATTTTGAGACAGACTATTGCTCTGTGGCCCAGGTTGGAGTGCAGTGGTGTGATCTCAGCTCACTGCAACCTCCTCCTCCTGGGTTCAAGTGATTCTTCTGCCCTGGCCTCCTGAGTAGCTGGGATTACAGCCACCACCATCACATCTGGCTAATTTTCATATTTTCAGTAGAGGCGGGTTTCGTGTTGTTGGCCAGGCTGGTCTCAAACCCCTGATCTCAGATGATCCACCCACCTTGGCCCCATAAAGTGCTGGGATTACAAACGTGAGCCACCACGGCCTGCTGGTACCAATGGTTTTAATAGCTTCATGGTTGAACCACTGAAATGAAACAAAAAGTAAATCCAGAGCTCACACACTCTAGCAAAACAATAGCCATTAATAGCTATTGAGTAAATAAAGTAGATGCTCAGTAATCATGAGCACGTAGCTCATCAGCATCCTTGTCATCACCACTGCCTCTGCCTCCTCAAGATCATTTGGTAGCCTAAGTCCAATGTCAAAGGAATAAAGAAAACCTGCCTCTGCTGAGGGCTTGCACTATGCTAAAGTCTTCACTTTGTTTCATTTAACCTTTACCAAAACCCTTATTATTTTACAGATAAGGACACTAGGCTTAGAACAAGGCACCAATTTGCCCAGGATTTCACAGCTCATCTGGGCAGCAGGGGACCGTCTTTCAGGCCCACCTGGCTATAGAGACCATACCCTTTCCCGGTCTCCATGCACAGCAGCTTCCTGCTCACTTTAGCTCCGATTTCCCAGCCTGAATGCCTTGATTGGGCTGCATTGCTTTGGCCTGGCCACAAAAAGAGTTTTGAAGATTTGTGCCCACTTTTCTTACTACGGTTAAGAAAAAGGACCAAAGTTGAACCAAGCTCTCTAGGTTCAAATCCTACTTACTGGCTGTGGGACCCTAAACTATTTGTGGAACTTCTTTGAGCCTCAATTTTTTGTTTTCTGTAACATGAGAATACTATCCATACCTCTCTCGTAAGTTTCTTATGAAGATTAAGTATATATGTGTTAAGATTCGTATTGACAACTATGCATGTATGCATATACATACAAGGTTGAGTATGTATATAACACACATTTAGAATAGCGCATGAAATATAGTCAGTGTTCAGTTAATGACAAGTACTGTTAATATTATCCCATGGGCTGGAGTGAGAGGGCCACTGGGGTTTTGCTTTCCAGTCCCTAATCCGGTGGCATCCTGGATAGGGTATCATCATACCCCTCCTAGGAGAACAGGATAGGGAACTGTAAGAGTACTCAGGTAGAAGGTGGGATGTGCACCAGGGAAGCTCAGGAGGAAGCTGCTGCCTTTCCTGGTCCCTGAAGACCAGGAGCAGCAGCCAGGGACTTGGGTTGACAGGGAAGTGCAGGGAGTGGTTGAGGGGTGAGATGATTATCAAACCTCCTCTAAAAACAAGCTGGGGCTTGGCGCGGTGGTGGCTCATGCCTGTAATCCCAGCACTTTGGGAGCCTGAAGCACGTGAATCAGCTGAGGTTAGGAGTTCCAGACCAGCCTGGCTAATATGGTCTCTACCAAAAATACAAAAATTAGACAGGCCGGTGGCTCACGCCTGTAATCCCAGCACTTTGGGAGGCCGAAGCGGGTGGATCATGAGGTCAAGAGATCGAGACCATCTTGGTCAACATGGTGCGACCCCGTCTCTACTAAAGATACAAAAAATTAGCTGGGCACGGTGGCGCGTGCGTGTAATCTCAGCTACTCGGGAGGCTGAGGCAGGAGAATTGCCTGAACCCAGGAGGCGGAGGTTGCGGTGAGCCGAGATTGCGCCATTGCACTCCAGCCTGGGTCACAAGAGCGAAACTCTGTCTCAAAAAAAAAAAAATTAGACAGGCATGGTGGAGCAAGTCTGTAATCCCAGCTACTCAGGAGGCTGAGGCAGGAGAATCACTTGAAACCTGGAGAAGGTTGCAGTGAGCCAAGATGGCACCACGGCACTCCAGCCTGGGGGACAGAGACTCCATCTCAATAAATAAAATACAGGATGGAAGGGAGTGCCCAGCTCTCAGTCAGCTGCCGGTCCACGGCCTTGGACACCACTGATATGGACCTGTCTGGGCTGGAGCAGAAGGGGGCCAGCGTAATGTCTTCAGAAAATTCCCTGCAACCCCCACCCGCCTGGTGGCCTGTCCTGAGGCCGGCCCAGCCCATGGAGCCAGCCCCGGCCAGCTGCAGCCAGTACCATTGATGACCAGCAGAGGGCAGCACAGGCCACAGGCTGGCTTTTTGTTGGTGAAATTTTGCTACGATGTGTGTAGCCTCTTGGGTTTGGTGTCTCCCTGTTCTTCCTCTGCAGGCAGAGGGAAGTCCTGGATATGATCACAGGCACTCTGCCTCATCCTCATCCCCAAATTCTGAGGTCTTTCTGAACTGTGTTAGCATATTTCAGAGCTTCACTGCAAACCAGAAACGGGACTTTGAACTCACATTCCAGAGCAGAGAGCCCCAGGGCATGTAGGTGCAGACAGCACACTTCCAAACCTCCGCATCTGGAGAGCAGGACTGGAAGGGACGGTTTTGGGGCTTGTTTGCAAGTTCACCGGGGGCCAGGTGAGCTATCTGTCCTTGCCATTCTCTCCCAGGAGGAGGAAGTGTGAGACGATGCTGAAGGTGCGGGCTCTGGAAGGGGACGGGGCTGTGCTTAAGCCTGCCTCGTTACAGGATTATGGACAAGCCTTCGCTAACTTCTGTGGAGTAGTGGATAAAATCCGTACCCCACGTGGTCATAAGAGAACTAAGTGAAGGACCGCATGCACAGAGCCCAGCAAGGTGCCCAGGAAACAAAGCAATCGTTTTTCAGGTTACATCTTGGGGAGACCACCCAGAGGACCTTTTTTCAAGGACCAGTACCGAGAATTTCTCTCCCTTTCCTACATCACTTGCTTTCACGCACAGGGAGGCCAGCACTGCCTGAGCCAGGCCACCCCTTTCTTAAGCCAGGGCCTGGAAACTGCTGTAGGGGTGCTCCCTTGATCTCCATCGGACACTCCCATGCCTGCCCACTGACCTCATAGCCATTCATTGGCCAAGACCCTGCCCTCATCCCAATCTTTTGTAAAGTACGCATGCATCTTCATGCCACCCTACAGGACTGTGGAGCAGGTGCAGGGATGAGTGTCTACCTTTTCACAAGCTCTCCAGGGGGTTCTGAAGTCCATGGAATCAAACAGCCACCACTCTAGGCAATGAGATGGGGAAATAGTATTCTAAAACAATTAATGCGGGCCCATGAAGGGGACAGGAGAGCTATTATGCAAATTCTGGCTATTCGAGGTTATTCATATGCAGGAGAGAACGTAGATGCTGGATAAAGGATGCCCACAATATTAGGCAGTCAGGAGGCTGCCTGGCAGGGCCTGTTTCTGCTCAGCCTGGTGAACAGAAAGGTCTCAGGGATAACTTTAGAGAATGACAGAACTCTTGCTGGGTCAAAGGGCACAGTTGCCAAGGCTGAGGCCAGAACTAGGAAGATCCACCCATCTGGCTCAGTGGTTCTCAATCTTGGGTCAGCACTGGAATCCAGGAGAGCTCACGGAAACCTCGAGAGCTGCTGGCTCCACCCCCAGAGCTGACCTTAGTAAATCTGAGATGAGGCCAGAGAAACTGCATTTCAACAAGTTGCCAGGTGTTGCAGTGTGTGTGCGTGCATGCATGCATGCGTGCCTCTGTGTGTTCCCGTTTTCTGCTTTCTGCAGTGTTTCAGCTCAGACTTCCTGACGGGGGGCCCATTCTTGGTCAGAGGCCCAGTCTAAACCTAGAATAGCAATATATGCTCAGGTCTTTGGAGCACGCAGCCTTCTCAAAGCCATTGTTTCCAGGTTCCATAAAAGCCACATAAGCTGGTTTTAAAAGTGCAGCTAGGAGAAAATATTTCCTTCCTCATCCATTGCTAGGTTCATGGCTGAGGCACCTGCAATAAAAGACAGATTCACAAGAGAAAAGCATACCAAGTAATTTAAGTTGTGTATGATGTGGCAGCCTTTAGAAATGAAGACCCAAAGAAACAGGGAAATCTGTGTGATTTTTTTTGCTAAGTCTGGTGAAGAAGCAGGTAACTGTGGAGAATTATAACTGGACAAGGGGGTTTGATTTGATGTGATAATCTAGGTGTCATTTAGAAGGGCTGTTTGTTCAGATTCTTCTCTGCCTCCCTGAATCTTCATAGAGAAGGATTTTCCTGTCCTGTGGGTCTAGGTAAGTCACCTCTTAAATGAGGGTCTCATGCCCCACTTGAGAAGAAGGACAGGAAATTCTTTTATGGCCTGCTTCAGGGGAGAAGGGCAGGAGAAGGTTGGAGAGTGACCTTCCCGCTTTTGCGATTTTCTCAAATGCCAAGATGGCAGATCTGGGATTGTGTGTCCAGAACTCCATCACATCCATGGCTGTCCGCGTGCCTGTCACTCACGGCCACAAATGTGTATTGACTTGTGAGATCCTCAAAATGAACCTTCAAATCTGTGCTCGTCCCCACTTGAGAGATCCAGAGATGAGCGTAGAGATAGGACACAACCTTCCCAAGGGAGCAGAGCCAAGATTTGAACCAGGGCTGCTGGGTCCATGAGCAAGGGCTTGAAATCCAGTGCAGCACAGGCATCTCCCTCAGCAGGCTCAGTGACAGGAGTTCCACTGGCTGGAGCAGAAAGGACCCTCCCCTTCAAAGCAGGACTCTGCCCTCGAGCCCTGAGCAGCCACTCTGGACAGGGTCCACGGAGGAAGGCAATCCTCCAGTCCGCCATGCTTCCTCTGACCTCTTCGCTGTCTCAGATGGAACTGCAAGAAGAACCCAAACCATCCAGGTCTCCCCTACTGCTGGGCCTTTGCAAAGCCTTCAGAGCAGCACAGCGGTGATCTCCTGGGTCCCTCAGCTCCACGCCATCAGCACATGACCCAACAAACCTTGGGCCGCCAAGGAAAGTTCCTTCCCCAGAGTTAGCTCTGAGGCCAATCACCCAATTTCACACCTGATTTCATACCTTTTGTCCCTCCGCAGAGCCCCCTGCCTGCTCCCCATTGTCCTTCCTGACACCAGCCTTGGTATTTCCAGAAATGTATGCGGAGGCTCAAGGCTTGGAGGACTGGCTTCATCAACGGGCTCTGGAAGGCTCTCTGACCCCAGTGGAACTTGGCTATCTCTGTCTGTCCAGATGTTACTCAAGCCCGGAACCTCCCCCCCATTGTTAGCGGCTTCTCCTTCCCGCACAGGCTGTGGCCCCTCCTTCTCCCTCAACCTTGACCTCAGGCCAGCGCTGAGCTTTTCCCGACAGCCCTTGGGTTACTGTAGACAAGGCTCTAGTGCTCAAACTCTGGCTTGAGCTCAGAGGAGGGCCCATTCTGGGCTTGAAAGTACCTGATGTGGGGACCGCAGGCCACACTGGAGTGGTGAGGAGGGTCTCCTGTCACAGGCTGAGGAGCTGGCCCAGAGGCAGCCCTGGCCTCCTTGCCACTCCCCTGAAATCAATTCCTCATCGGAGGGAACTTTCTAAAATAAAATGTTTAAAATTGCCACAGACCTGCCCAGCTTAAAGCCTTTACAAGGCTGCTGTTGGCCCCAGCATGAAACCCAAGGTCCTTTCCCTCCTGGCTGCCAAGGCCTCTGGCCACTTGCCCACCCCACCAGCCTCACCACACTCCCTTAGCCTTCCCTACTCTTGGGGAAGGGCAGGGCGGGGCGGGGGGGGCTACACTAAGTTCCAAAGTCAACCTGCACTTTTTCTTACCTCCAAGCCATTGTTCAGCCTCCTACCTTGGTCTAGAACACTCCCTGCATCTGACTTCTATATGTTTCTTCCTTCAGGAAGCCCTCCCTGATGCCCCATGCCCCCTCCAAGGAGTGCCCAGCATCCAGAGCAACCTGCACCACATCGTGTGCTGGAAACATCCCTACCATACTTCTCTGTCCTTGGACACTGCATGTGGGCCTGTCAATACACCACCTAGACCCCTCGGGTACCTTTCACCATTTCTCAGCACTCTTCACCTGGCCTCTGTGAGTTTTTGCTTCTAAGAGTCTATTGGGAAGAAAATATTCCCACTTTATCAAACTAGATCCTAGTTGTGGGGTAGAGGGCTGCAAATTAACTGGCAATGGACAGATTCAAAGGAGAAAAAATCAGTTGTACTCACTTGCCTGGGAAGACTGAAGAGCTAGGAATCAGGGCTGCTATATCCACTTAATAAACCGGGAGAACCTGGTGGGGCTAGGGCTGCTGCGGAGGCTCAGGAACCAGTCAGAAGCTTCCAACTTTCACCCACCATGCCCGGCTCCCGGACCCCATGCGGCTAGATGTAAGCAAGAAGGAAACTAATTTCACAAATTTCGGCATTTATGAAGCTCGGCAGGCAACCCAGCAGGCAGCCACAAGTGAGGAACAAGGGCCCCTAGGCTGGGCTGCCTTCCAGGCAGGTCTCCTCGACACGGGCCACTGCAGTTCGCTCCTGAAGTGTATCAGGGGAGCCCGGCTGTATGTGGGGGACGGGGAGGGTGGGGTGCAGAGCTCAGCATCCACCCACCTGGTGCTGCGGCTGCCACTCCACAAGTAGAAGGCTGGATGCCTGCTGGGGCAGAAGGTGGAGTCCAGCCTGACCACTTTGTGGGGCTCATCCTCGCCAGCCTTGGGGGCAGTGACAGGCTGCTATGAGGCGCACCCCAGCCTGAGGATCCCTCAGCCTCACTACTCCCAGGTCAAACCTAAAGGAGCAGGCCTGGCAAGTCCCTAAGCCTTCCAGCGACGTTCCCCTTCCCCAGGCTTGGCAGTGCCAGCCCACAATTCAGTCATAGGACACCAGGTGGGCTCCTTTCTTGCGGGCCTGGCACAGGCTGCTGAGAAGAAATGGGCTCGCAGCCCGGAGGGGGGCTTAGAGCCTGGAGGAGTGGCCCATCCCTTCCTTCATACAACCAGGCTGTGGCTGGCTGTCCACAGATGGCCATCCTCATGCTATGAACTGAGTTCTGTATTCCCCAAACTCAACATGCTGAAGGCTTAACCCGAGGGACCTTGCAATGGGACTGTACTTGGAGATGAAGCCTTTAAAGGGGTAATTACATTAAAGAGATGTTGTTAGGGTAAGCCCTCATCCAATATGACTGGTATCTTTGTGAGAATAGAATAAGACATAGACACACACAGAGGTAAGACCACGTGAAGACTCAGAAGGAAGGCTGCCGTCTGCAAGCCAAGAAGAGAGGCCTCAGGGGAACCCAGCCTGCTGCACCTGCATCTCAGACTTCCAGGCTCCTGAACTGGGAGGATATGAATTTTTGTTTAAGCTGCCCAGTCTGCTGCCCCTTGTGATATCAGCCTGAGCAAACCAATACACATTGGCCCTGATAGCTAAACTGAAAAGTGCAATAAGGCCATTTAAACCACAAATACACGGTGGGGGTGCCCAGATCCCAGAGCTGAGTCTCAGTTATTTCACACATCACAAAACTGAGGGTGCTGAGGGAGGGGGCCTCCCGAGGCCACACAACAACTTAGAGGGAACATGAAACTGAAAGAAATGGATTCCCAGGGGAGGGCTCTTGCCTGACTCCCTCCCAGGAGATCATCAGAGGGTTTCCGGGAGCATGAGGTTGCTGAGACCACAGACAGAGGTTGTTTCATGGCTGAGTAATGGAGTAGAAGCCAGGCGAGTATGACACATCATCCCTCTTGACGGAATTAGAACACAGAGCCCTGGAGTTCACGTCATGCCCCGATCCCAGATTCATGATGGAAACTTGAACCTCACCCGCTTATCTCTGAAGTGCAGAAACTTACAGTCCCTCCTCCAGGGAGAGTTGGGGGTTAAATGATATAGTGATGTACAAGTCTGTAAGCTGTAAGGCAATGGAAAAATGGAGGGTTTGTCCTTGGATGAAGCTCCCACCCTGGACAGCATGGAGAACCCAGGAGTCAGGCTGGGCTGCTGGCTCACAGGTACTCTCTCCCTCTGGTTTTCTTCCCACTGTCCTGTCTGAACTCCTCCCTTCTGTGCTCTCTCTTCTTCTCTCCCTCCGTCTGCTGTCCCCCTCTTTGCCAGTGATCAGACGTGACCATGGGTGACAGGCATGAATTTTAGTCTGCACCCTCAGGTGTGCAAGAAATGTGGCTCCCTTTAGTTCCTATAACTAAACTTTATTTTCAGTCTGCATTGATGTTCCTCCAGATGCCCTCCCAGGCCAGCAGGGCCTCTGCACTGGCAGGGATGGGATCAGAACTCAAAGCCCCTTTCATGCATCCACGTTTGCACAATGGCACACAGACCTGTCTAAAATCGAACTAGTAGGAAGCAGTGAGAACTTGGTGCTTTGTAAAGAGGCTTTGTGATTCAGGTAACAGGGCTAGCTCCAGGGAGCGTGGAACAAATGAGCCCCCTGAGGGCACAGACATCTCAGAGCCTGTGTACCTCCCATGTTGGGAAGGGGTGAGGAAAGGCCGTTTGTGAGCCTCTGGCGCCTGTGTACCCACCTGCAGGGTTTGTATCTGTGTGCACATTCTACCTCGGTGTATGGCAGGTGATCCGCGGTGTTTCTTTCTCAGCCAGGGACTCAGGTGGGAGATTGAAAAATCCAAGAGGCAAGAGGCATCTGCAGCCCTGGAGCCAGTTCCAGATTTGCCCTCAGGGCCGTATCCCCGTAACCATCACAGGGCTTGGCTCCTGAGAGAAAATGCAGTCTTAAAGAATGAACAATTGTTGACTACTGCTTACTACAATAAGCATAGCTGCTACTCTATCCAGCAAGAGGAAGCCACTACTCAGTGCTCCAGCCAAGGTTGTTCTCAAGCTTCTGTTCATCTCAAACCTTTATGAAGCACCCTCACCCACTGGCCTGTGCAGTGCCTAAGAGTGCACCCTGCAGTCAAATCCCAGCTTGGCCTCGGATGAGCTGTGAGGCTCTTGGTCAATCCCATTCCCTTTCTGGCAGTGCCTTGCAAAGGAGACAGCATTGCAAAGACCCCAGGGGCTGAGTAAGCAGAGTCCTTTTGGAAATCAGAGAAAAGGCCACATAGCTGGGAGCCTTTGTGAAACTGGAGAGATCACCAGGGCCAGACCCTCAGGGGCCTGGGGGCCCTTGAAAGGAATCTGGTCTTGTTCCTAGAACAGATGGCACTAATTATTTGACTTTGTTCAAGTCCCTGTCCTATTCTGAGCTTCAGTTTTCTTATCTGCAAAGGGCTCTGGACAGAACCATCCAGGATCCACCCTGACCCTGGGCCTTCATGCCAGGTTAAGGAGAGATAGGCCTCATTCTGCAGGCAGAATGAGTGTCTCCGGGAAAGGCCTTCTAGCTCCACCCTGCCCTGTCTGGCTCTGCAGACCACACAGAACTCTCAAGACAATTGGTCACTACACTCAGGAGTTTCCCATTTCTGCCAAGAAAATCTGGAGAAGACAACGTCCCATTTGAATCATGAGATGTCCTCAACAGCACCTTCTAGAGTGGAGACCTTTGTGCTGCTGTGAGAGAGGGGCTTGCAGAATGATATTGTCAGTCTAGGCATGTTTCACACAGAGGAGAACTCAGGACAGGGGACAGGAATGGAGGCAGGAATTCAATCTGTTAGAACAAGTTTTCAGATGTGGTTATGTTTCAGGGATGTAGAATCCTGTGCCTTCAGGATTTCTGAGATTGAAGATAATCCCGGAAAACAGAGCTGGCAGGCCCTGGAATCAGCCCCAGGCCTATTTGGATAGGGGATTCTGGGGTCCTGGTACCCAGAGCCTGGTCTAGACAGAAGGAGGTAGTGGGCTCTGGGTGGGCAAACCCACCTTGGCCCTTTCCCTTCCCTCATCCTGTGGGGAGGGGCTCAGCTAGTGCAGGGTCAGAGGGCATCTAAAGCAGGGGTTGCATGGTAGGCATCCCTCTTGCCCAGACCCAAGGGTGGCCCGGATCACCACCTAGGCACAGCTGGGTGATGAGTATGGGCAGCTGGGTTTTGTTGCCACATAAAAATGCCTCATTCCTCCTGGCCCTGAAGTGACTGTTCACTGAAAGAGGCAACCCTACTGAATCACAGCCTGCTATTTATTACACAGTCAGTGAACAGCCTACAGTTCCAATGCATGAGAGGGCTTGGAAACCAAATCAACCTTGGGAAAAGGAAATGCAGAGGCCAAGGTCAAAACCCATCCATGGAAGTGGGAAGAAAGCAGGGCTGGCCTCAACCTTTTCACCAGTAGAGAGATGGCCATGTAAAGTAGTAAGTCTCCTGTGGATGGAGTATTCAAGAACAGGTAGAATGTCTATTTCTTAGGGGTTTGTAGAAAGAATTCCTTGCACACAAAAGTACGTGATTCTACATCCCTGGAGCATAACTAGGTCAGAAAACTTGTTGTAATAGATTGCGGTCCTGCCACCTCTCCTGTCCTCATCCAGAGTTCTCCTCTGTGTGAAACATGTCTAGACTGACAGTATCATTCTGCGTAAGCCCCTCTCACAGCAGAAAAAAGGTCTGCACCCTTGAAGGTGCTGTTGAGGACATCTCATGATGCAAATGAAGCAGCTGCTTGAAGGAGCCCTGGAGGAGCCTGGGCAGCAAGGCTGGGATGCCCACAGGCATGTGCCTTTCCAGAAATGGGCAGGAAGTAGAAGGAAAAGAAAGGGAGTCAGGCGCAGGGCAGGGGTAGGGGCTGGGGTCTGCTTTCTCTACACTGCCAGGTTCTGATGAGGACCTCCCAGGAGGGTGAAAAGCTGCAAACCCAAATGGTTAAGAAGATATATCTGTTAATGTAGAACATGTTATATTTACTAAGTAATTGACTTGATTTGCAACTTTAGGCAGACATGGTAAGTGGACATCAATATTAGTTTCCTGTTGCCACTGGAACAAATGACCGAAACTTAGCACCTTCAAACATACCTTTATCATCTTACATTTCTGGAGGTCAGAAATCCAAAATGAGTCTCCCTGGGCTGAATCTGGGTGTTGGCAGAGCGACGTTCCTTCTGGGGTCCTGGGGGAAGCCTGCTTTTTGTCTTTTCCAGTGTCTAGATGCTGAATCCATTCTTTGGCTCATAACCCCTTCCTGGGTCTTCAACGCTAGCAGTGTCAGGTCGAGTCTTTCTCAGACTGCCACCTCTGTTCTCCCTCTTGTGCCTCCCTACGTCATTTATCAAGACCCAGGGGATTCCACAGGCCTACCCAGATAGCCCAGGATAATCTACCCTCTTTAAAGTCATCTGACTGGCAACCTTAATCCCATCTGCATCCTCCATGACCCCCCGCCATGCAAGGTGACATACAGGCACAGGGATGAGGAGGTCTTCACAGGGCTATTATTGTGCCTACCACAACCTCCATTTGGATTCTTGTCCCAACCCTCACAAAAATGAGGCATATAATTTGTTGAATTCTGAATAAAATGTTACCAGTGACTAGGAGTTATTATTTTTTCTTTAAAAAAAGAAAAACCTTCTCCTCCAGGTCTGGTTTTCTTTAGACCTCAGGACTGTGTACCTGAGAAGATCTGCGGGCATGAGTGTTTATGTGATTATCTGGACATAATCAGATTTCTGATTGACATTGTTGTATTACTTTGGCTCCAGATGCAGTAGCCTGAGAGCAGGAATAAAATCCCCTCCAGCTCTCTCAGTCTACCCTTTGCAGAGGGAGAATTAAATTGGGGCCACACAGCAGGCAGCACTAATCCTCAGTCCACACAAATCCTCACTTTCCAATCATTTCGATGGAAGTCATAAAAGAGCACTCTGGTAGGCATTATTACTTCATTTTTTCATCAATTCAGCAAGTATTGATTGGGCACCTACCCTGTGCCAGTGAGGTTGGAGACACAAGGGTGATGAACAGGGTACATGTGCCTGGCCCTCAATGGCCAGCTCTGTCACTGTAGGCAGGAGCTTTCCTTCCTGTGGGCTCCTGGGTTTTATAATCACAGGAGCACATAGACATCCAGCACAGAGCCCCGTTATGGGGGCAGGGTCTGGCCTGCCTCCTTCACTGTTGTCTCCCAGTGCCTCAGATGTATAGTAGGTGCTCATTCCTTAAATGAATGAATAAATGAATGACCCTCCCTGATCAGAGAGTTAATGACTGTATCAGTCCAACCAGAAAAGCAGAGGACAAGCCGAGAAAAGACCTGGCCAGTCTCTGCCACCATGGCTGTGAGTGAGAGGAATTCAGATCGTGAGGTGGATTCCTGGGGCGGTGGCTGCTGCTTACAAAGCGCTTTGCTGGTATTCATTAAGCCACAGGGCTCCCTTCCAAGTTTCCTGCTGTTATCATTCTCACTATGTAAATGAAGAAACTGAGGTACTGAGATGAACTTGCTGAAGACCACACAGCTAGTAAGTATCAGAGCTTGGATGTAAACCTGAATGCTCACTGAGGAGAGAACAGCTCACCTCTTTCCCTCAAAGGCACATGTTCAGTCTTCCCAAATCTCATCCGGCAGCAATTAATGTCTCCCTTCCCACTATCCCCCGCTCACTTCCCATCTGCAGAGATCTCATTGGGTCTAAATTATCAGGGCCTACAGCCAGGCCATGCTAATGAGGTTGAAGAAGGTGGAAGGGCTGAATCGGGCAACGTTGTTCCTTTAATCCTAACTCTTTCATCCTAATTCATCACTGCACCCTACCTGCCCACCCCCCCCACCTTGGGTGAAGAAAGTTTGAATTGCCCAGCATCCGGGAAGTTTGTGCTAAGTCAAGGGAAATTGCTACACTGCTGTCTGTTTTGTTCAGTCCTTCATAAGCATGCAGCCTGACCTGGAGAAACTGACAGTTTAAAATGTATGGGGCAGCTCCCGCCCCACCCTTTACTACCCTTGACCACACTCCAAGCAGTAGCCAGTCGATACTGTGGTCCAGGAAGTCTCCCTGCAGCTCAGCCATCAGTCATTACCTTTACTGGCAGGACAGGGACAGAACAGGGGATGTTCTCCCCTTTTATTTTGTGTAGTGAGGCTTAGAAAACTCTGTACCTAGAAAAATCCATTCCTGAAGGCTGTTGCTGTTGAGTAGTGCAGTGAGATGGGTTTGAAGCAGTGAACTCTTTCATAGGCTATGTGAATGTGGGCAAGTTGCATTTTCTCTCTGAGTTCTCTGAGCTCAAGTCTTGCTTTGGGTAATTTGTGCACTAACCTTTGACCTTTCTGACAAAAAGAAAAAACAAAATCACAGTGCTGGGGACAGCTCCTGACGCTCCACCTCCTCTACTTCTTTTTTAGATAGCAGGTTTTGCTCTGTTGCCCAGGCTGAGGTACATTGGTGTGATCATAGCTTACTGCAGCCTTTAACTCCTGGCTGCAAGCAATCCTCCCACCTCGGCCTCCCTAGTAAGTAGGACTACAGGCCTGTACTTCTATTTTTATTTATTTATTTTGCCGATCTGGAATACTTGCATTTGTGTTTGCCTGTCCCAACCTTCTTCTTCTGCTGGGCCCAAGCAATTCTCCTGCCTTGGCCTCCCAAAATGCTCGGATCACAGGCATGAGCCACTACACCCAGCCTCAACTTCTCTCACTTTTATCTTCTCCCCAGTTCTTGGTGAGGCAGGACCTGCCATATGTCCAGATCCCCATTTGTCCCCAGCAATCTACCAAATGGCTTAACTGGATCCTCACGTCACTCCCCAGGGATCCTGGCCAGGTCCTGACTGAACTGAGTTTCTTCTCTCTATATGCCCAAAGAGTAGTAGGTGTTCCTGCACTAAGCAGTGGCTTAATTTAGGTTTTTTTTTATTCTTCAGATGTCTCTCCCATTTGATGTTTCACCCCTTGAAGCCCAGGTGAATCTCTGTCTTCTAATTCATATGAATACTGCTGGTGCCTGACATCACGTCTTGCTCATAGAGTAGTAATTCAAAAATTTGACTTGAATTCCCATTTGGGAATTCAGATAAAAGCTGAGAAAGCTCCTACTGCAAGAGAGAAGCACACCACAAAGGGGACTAAGGGGAAGAATTGGGAGGGGAGCATTTATTGACCCAAATGACAGGACTGTGGGCACTCATGTGTTCAAGTCACGTTTAGGAATCATTCTGTTTTCTTTATGAAGCAGATCCCACCTCTCATTGTAAAGCTGGAAATGCCACATTCCCTCTGTCCCAGCCTCTCTTGCAGCTGTGATGTGCATAAATGACCTAGAACCACTCGATCAACCCTTCCACCCTAGAGCTTGAGTGGGAAGTCATGGCTTGAAGAATCAGGAGCCACACAGGACTCCATTTGCGAAGGGAGTGGCACAAGGTGCCTCAGTGATGTTGGCCACACAAGCCACCATATCAGTGCCAGTGGCCAAGGCAGGGGTGTCTTCACAGGGCCAGTTTCACCATGTTATTCCACAGGTGGCTCCTGGCCCATAGCCTCCGAGTTGATTTTAGTTTCTCAGAGATTCAGTCGGCCAACTAATGTCACTTAATCAATCCCGTTTCTGCTTGGATGAGCTAGGCTCAGTGTTTGTTGCTTACAAATGAGACCTCGACTGAGACAAGTTGTCATGAGTTTCCAGTTGAAGTCATCCTATTCCCTCTCACTTCGAGGCCTTTGCACATGTCATTTCTTCCACCTGGAGCAGGCATTCACCCTTCATTTGTTACTGGATGACTCCTACCCATTCATCCAAGAGTCAGGCTTGAAGGCTCCTCCCCTGAGAAGCCCTCCCAGATTACCCCAAATCTGGGCTCCCACACCACCCTGGATGTTCCTCTTCATAGCACCCTGACCCCAGATTTTACTGTTTATGTCTGTGTTTTCTCACTACTCTGCAAGCTGCATGAGGAAAGAAGTGCCTCTATTTTATCATGGCTGGTAGTTGTTAGCATAGTTGTCCAGCCTATTGACATTGTTGAATGGATGGGTGGATGGAATCATCTTAGGCCAGAGCAGTCCCCCACTATCATTGCCTGGTAGCATGGGGCAGCTTCAGTTTTTGGACTAAGGACAATTGCCCTGTTCCAGAAAACCCCAAAATAGAGTTACCTCATTTCACTTCTACCAGCATGTCTTGTACATCTGTTGTATGCCAGGCCCCATGTCCTCTTATGCCCACATCCAGATCCTGCAGGTAGAAGCACATTGCTGTGCTCCCTCTTCTCTGCCCAGCCATGGAGGCCCTGGGGGCTTGGAGGAGTGACTACTTGCTCTCTGGGAGAAGCATGGGCTGCAAGCCCCTTGAGTGGGCAGGTTGCCATGGTGATGCTTGCTAATGGAGTTGCCTGAGGAACACTGACCAGCAAAAGGAACAATTACCAGAGAAGGGCCATTTCTTTAGCAATTTTCAGGAATGGGTAAGAGAAAAAGCCACAAGTGAAAAGGCACTGCAAACCAATAATAGTGTATGAGTTGGTCTGAGCCAACCCAAGGCCTGTTTCCCACCCCTCTCTCTTCCCCTCTGATTGTAGCAAATAAAGCCATACTTTTCAGTGATTTATAACTGTTCAAAAATAGCTCATTTTCATACCTCCTTTTGTCTACCCAGCATCCATTATACACCACGTCTTAATAGATACTTAAAATATACTCTATAATTATGAAAACAAATCTATATACATATGAGGATACTGAAGCTCAGGGTATGTGAGGGACCCATCCAGGGGTACACAGCTGGGAAGCACATTCAGCAGTTTGCTTGATGCTTAATTCAAGGAAGCGAATTCTCTTTGTGCAGTTAACATCATCACAATGACAATTGCAGTGTCTCCATGAGAAAGTGTTCTTGAAAATGAGACACTAGCCCTCTCCTCTCTCATCTACACAATATCCTATTGCCTTCTATTTAGAAGAGAGGTAGTGAGTTGGTTTATTCACTCACTCTCCATTTGTTCATTCATACACATCTAAGGAACTCAAACTTCTAGGGCAAAACCAGCAAGCCCCGTACTGGACACTTTGCACTCAAAGTCAGCACACTTGAGAAGTAAGAGGAGCTTCCCCATAGTTACTGAGCTTCTAGCTCTTAGTCCCAACTCCTGAAAAGTAGCTGTCCACTTCCAAACTGTGCTTTGGCCCCTGACATTGCCACCCTGAGCTCCACACACCCTTGGACCACAGTTTTGTGAGGCCCAGATGAGCACAGTATGCAGGGTAGGGCCTGGCACTTGCAGGGCTCCAAGGAACCCAGAGGAAAATGGCACAGGTCCTGAACCAGGCTGTTCAGGGCTGAACTCCTGCCCCACTTAGCAGCGGGATGATGAGCAAATTGCTCGGCCTCTCTGTGCTTCAGTTTCCTCACCTACAACCTAGGGCTAAAAAAAAGAAGCACCTACTCTATAGGATCATTGCCATGATTCAACACAACAATCCACATAAGGAACTTAGAACAGTGCTGGCTGTGTGTGTTAAATGCTGAGTACACATCAGCTGGGATTAGAAGTAGCAGCATGGCCAGGTGCTCCTGAGCAATGGGTCAGCTCTTGCTGTGCTACCCTCAGGTCCCACCCTCCTTTGCAGTTTCTTCTCCTGCTTTGATAACTAGAAGCAGTCGTATAGGGCCTGGGGTCTCTACTCACAAGTCAAGATGTCCAGTTCAGCCACTCCTGTCTGTCTTCCTTTCTTAGAGTCACTCTGTAGGCGTGTCTTGTGTAAAATGTAAATCAGACCATGGCACTCCCTAACTGGAAACCCTTCCGTGGCTCCCTGTTACTCACCATAGGCTAAATTCCACCCGGACTCCTCTGAAGGGCTGGCGGGGCCTCCTGTGGTCTAGCTCCCACCTGCTGTCCACCCTCACCCCTCATTCCTGCCCTGTAAACCCCTCGTAGCTCTCAGATTTCAAGAATTAAAGCTTTGACCCAGTTGTTCCCACCACCCCCACCCCCAATCCCTAGAAACAGCTTCCCCTTTCTCTTTTCTGGCCAACTGCAAGGCTCCTTGAAGGCTCGGCTTTTGCAGGACATCCCCTCTGGCCACACAGGATCCCTCCATTTTGTGGCTGATAACATCCTTCAGATTGCAAGCTGAGCACTCATCATACCCCATCATGACGATCTCCCCTGCAAAGCCAGGGGCTTTGAGAGGGCGGGATGGTGGCTGACACATTTGGTGCTCCAGTCTCGTCATCTGACACTTGCCATAGAGAAGGTGCTTAATATTTAGAAGAGCGTGTGTGATTATCAAGAGCCTGGATATGAAGAAGGGGATCACGGCCTTGAAAAAGGACCAAATGACAGGAGGTGGCCTGGTCCTCATGGCCAGGCCCTTGTGGTCTCCTTGTTTCAACGAGCCAATAAACCCAGCTCTGTTCAGCTGCAGGTATGTTCCTGGTCTTTGTCTAAAGGGCATTGACACCATCCAGTTCCCAGAAACCTGAACTTCCAAAACAACAACAAAAAACTAATCAGTTTCTGCAAACTAATTGATTAGTGAGAAATGTATTTCTGATAGGGAGCACCAGTTGGAGTGGACAACCTTGAACATTCTAGATGTTTTCTGGAGAGATGCTTCAGCTTCCCCTCCATTGTGAGTGTGTGTGTGTGTGTGTGTGTGTGTGTGTGTGTGTGTGTACAGGGAAAGGATGCAAGCTTTGCTGTCCTGGGTATCCGTGACTGGGCATGTCTCATCTGAAGGGGCATCAGCTAACATTCCCTGAGAAAAGAATGTTATAATTGGATGATGACATCTGCTTCCAGAGGTAAGAGCATGCAGCATGGAGCAGACACTCTCTATCCCAGGAGCTTCCCTGCCCAGGCAGTGGCTAGTGGCTATTGTCATGGAGTGGTAACCATCTGCAAGGCCATTCTCAAAAGTCCTGCTGATATCACTCCAATCCATGGACACCCCTGTGACTCCCATCTCCATTCCTCGGGCATGCTTCCCATGGAAAGACACGTGGTTGGTGGCATTGGGGACTGAGAACAGAACAGATTCAGGCTTTGAGTGTGGATCAGAGCCACACTGTGTGGTGCTTGCATCACTTCTGACAGTAGTTGGGTAATGGGCCAAATCACCCAAAAAAGATAGAATGCCAACAGATGTTAGTTGAGGAAGATGATTAATCTCTTTCTTCAAAAGCTCAGAGAATCTTTATTGGCAAGATTAAAGTCAAGGTAAGGCTTCTCCTTAGCAACCAGAAAGCGCTTGGTGTGCGTGGCTGCAGAATCCAATATGAAACTCAGATGATGAAGGTGACAATGGGCACCTCCGATTGTCCATCGTAAATTTCTGCCTGGAATGCGGCTCGGCCTTATACACGTCAGCAAAAGCTAGTGAAAGTTCCAGAGAGGGATGTTAGGTCAGGCCTGATGGATGAGGAGGTTTCATTTAAGGGCTCCTGTCACTTCCCATCTTCAGGCCAAGCTGACATCCATGGCTGTAAAATTGTCACCCTTCTCCTTTGCCTCTCAGGAGAGCCAAACTTCTGTATGACACTTTTGATCAAATCTGTCTTTGCCCACTTCTCTCTCCGCCCGACTCCCCCCGCCTTTATCCTGACAAAGAAGCGAACTGTTACCCTGCCAGTTATTTATCTAAGTAATTTCTTGACGAAATTGCAAATATAATTGAATTTTCTGAAAACCAGGAATTCAAATGAGGCGACGACAGAGGAAACAGCGTGATTAAGGAATTGTTATTCACTCGTCGTACATCATTACCACCCAGAATTCATCTCCAGATCATTCACAGATGGAGTGGCTGAACTATGATTATATTTCAGAAAATGAAAGAGGACAAATCTAAAAAGGCAATAAAACAAATTAGAAACCTTCTTGAGGAACAGGATTATTACTGATTAAGTGTATTTTGCATCAAAAATGTGCTAGTACTTTGGCAGTTTAAATTATATGTCCATGCAGTCAACATTTTTGCTGGTCTCAAAATTCTTTGTTATTTTAGTCTTCTAATCACATTCCTCTTCACCCTCCAAATTGACGATTTGAAAGAACATTAGAAATGATCTTTCCTGAAGGAGCATTTGCTCTCAAAATGCTTTTACGCTCAGTAGCCATTAAAAGGATATCTTCAGTCACTTAGTGTCTCAATTTAACTTTAAAGAAAAGTTGCCTTATTAGGGAAGTGGCCTCTATGTCAATGTAATGGTCTTTGTCGCATCTTCAATGTGCTGGTTTAGTGCTTTAGGATTGAGAAAGGCAGTCTGCACATCACGCAGCCACCATGCGAATGAAGAAAACAGGTGCACTTCCAGGCACTATTTAGCAGGGGTACCACATTCCTGGTTCCAGTTTCCTTTTTAGAAAATCTGAAAGTAACTTTGGGGCATGTCTTTTGAGGACCACTCCAGCACAAGTAGTGGACAAACCCTAAATTAATTGCCAATAAGGTTTGCCTTCTGGTATTTACACCTTTATGGAATAAACTCCACTTGAAGGTAGATGAGATCTGTGATTTGCTTCTAACCAGCGGAATATGGCAGAGGTGACGAGGCATTACTCCTGTGATTACATTGCATCATGTGGCTCCTTTATGCTGGAAGATTCATGCTAGAGATTCTCCTTGCTGGCTTGACAAAGTATGTAACCATGATGAAGACTTCCAGGTGAAAAGGCACTGAGGGAAGTCCCTAGGTGCTGAGATTCGCATCCAACAAACAGCCAACAAGAAACAGACATCCCTGGTTCTACAGACACAGAAAACAAATTCTGCCAACATCATGAGTAAGCCTGGAACCAGATTCTCCCCAGGTTGAGCCTGATGAATAAAATACAGACCAGACCTTGATTGCAGTCTTGTGAGATCTGGGGGAAAGGATACAAACAGTGTTCATCCTTCTCACTCACAGAGAGTGTCACATAATAAAGACATGTTAGTTGTTACGCCACTTAGAAAACTATTACAGCTGCCCAGGAAGGTTGGCTAGCTCCAGATTCCAATCCATTCATAGGAAAGCAAGTTTTATTCCTAGAAAAAGAGTTTATACTTTGCAAAAGGAGGAAAATAGTCCTGCGGTTTTAGGTCATTTCTCACCGCACCCAAATTTCTTTAAAATTCTGGAAAAAGTGCATTTGTTTTCATGGTTGACTTAAGGAAGTTAACTAAGAAAGGTGGGAGGAAGGGACAAATTAAACTTTAGTATACATACAGGGAACTTCTTCCAAGTTATAAAAAGTAATGTCAGAAAAGGAGATTGGCATTGAATGTAATAAAGGACTATTAATAAATGTAATAAACCTGCATGTTCTGCTCATGTATCTAAACCTGAAGCAAGTTCCTACAAGTGTCCTTGACCTAAAATGTCTGCATCCTGCCAGAGACCCTTACTGATAAGTCAGGAGATACCTGATGCCCAGGAGAACTGGTTTTTGTACTCTGCCTTACATGAAACTAGAATTAAGAATGTAGGTTAGAAGTTTAGAAAACTTCTTGATGACCATCATGGAAAGATATTAAACTTTACCTGGTAAACTATGAAATATTGCCTGTCGATTTCTAAGAAAAATGAGTAGGAAGTTGGAAATGTTTTAGAATTGAGAATGTTTTTATATAATTAGAACTCTTTAAGCTATATAATTCTGAAATCTGTGTGACAGACCTTGGTGTAAACAGAAAGAACTAGTTATCTTTATAGCTTATCTAGTCTGTGTATTGATTTGATGTTTCTATTTTTACTTTTACTCTCACTACAAAGTTGAATGAAGGTTAAAATAATATTGTTCTTAAAAAAAGAAAAGATAAACCTGGAGTGGCCATTGCAATATTAGGCAAAATGGATTTTAAAACAAAAATGTTACTACAGACAAAAAGGGACATTTTATAATAATAAAAGTGTCAAAATATCAGGAAGATACCACAATTATAAACAAATATGCTCCTAATAGAATTTCAAAATACATAAAACAAAAACTGACAAAGTTGAAGGGATAAACAGACAGTTCAGCAATATTTAGAAACTTCAATACCTCGCCTTCAATAATGAATAGAACAACTAGACAAATGATCAACAAGACAATAGGATATTTTAACAAAGCTATATACCAACTAGACCTAATGGACATCTATAGAATAATCCACCCAACTACAGAAGCATGCATTTTTTTTTTTTTTTTTTTTTGAGATGGAGTCTTACTCTGTTGCCCAGGCTGGAGTGCAGTGGTGTGATCATGGCTCAGTGCAGGCTCAACCTCCCAGACTCTGTGATCCACTTGCCTCAGCTTCCGAAAGTGCTGGGATTACAAGCACACTGGCCCACATATTCTTCTTAAGCACACATCAAACATCCCATAGAATAGACCATATGCTAAGTCACAAAGCAAGCTTCAAGAATTTAAAAGAACTGAAATTATTGTACACAATATGTTCCTTGGCCACAAAGAATAAAATTAGAAAGAACTTTTGGAAACTCTCAAGTATATGTAAATTAACATACCATAAATAACCAATTGGTCAGAGAAGAAATCACAAAATAAATGAGAAAATACTTTGAGATGAATGAAAATTAAGACAGAACATATAAAAACGTATTCAATATAGCTAAAGCAATGCTTAGAGGGGAATTTATAGCTCTCAGTACCTACATTAAAAATGAAAAGACTTACCCTATTGGTGGGAGTGTAAATTAGTTCAACCATTGTGGAAGACAGTGTGACAAGTCCTCAAGGATATAGAACCAGAAATACCATTTGACCCAGCAATCCTATTACTGGGTATATACCCAAGGGATTATAAATAATTCTACTATAAAGATGCATGCACACGTATGTTTATTGTAGCACTATGTACGATAGCAAAGACTTGGAAAAAACGCAAATGCCCATCAATGATAGACTAGATAAAGAAAATGTAGTACATATACACCATGGAATACTATGCAGCCATAAAAAAGAATGAGTTTATGTCCTTTGCAAGGACATGGATGAAGCTGGAAACCATCATTCTCAGCAAACTAACACAGGAACAGAAAACCAAATACCACATGTTCTCGCTCATAAGTAGGAGCTGAACAACAAGACACATGAACACACGGGAATAACACACACTTGGGCCTGTTGAGGGGTGGCGGACAATGAGAGGGAGAGCATTAAGACAAATACCTAATGCATGCGGGGCTTAAAACCTAGATGATGGGTTGATAGGTGCAGCAAACCACCAAGGCGCATGTATACCTATGTAACGAACCTGCATGTTCTGCACACGTATCCCAGAAATTAATGTAAGATTAAAAAAAAAAAAGATCTCATGTCAATAACCTAAATTTCTACCTTAACACACTAGGGGAAAAGGAGCAAACTAATCCTAAAGCGAGCAGAAGGAAGACAAGAATAAAAGTGGAAATTAATGAAATTGAGGACAGAAAAACAACAGGGAATATCAATGAAACCAAAAAGTGGTTCTTGTCTTTATTTCTGTTTCTTTTTTCTTTTCTTTTTTTTCCCTGAGACAAGGTCTACCTCTGTCACCCAGGCTAGAGTGCAGTGGCCCAATCACAGCTCACTGCAGCCTCTATCTCCTGGACTTAAGTGAACCTCCTAACTCAGATGCTTGAGTAGCTGGGACCACAGGAGTGCACCACCATGTCCAGCCAATGTTTTTAATATTTTGTAGAGATGAGGTTTCCCTATGTTGTCCAGGCTGGTCTCAAATTCCTGGGCTCAAGCAATCCTCCTGCCTCAGCCTCCCAAAATGCTGAACCACCACACCCAGCTGTTTCTTTCAAAAGATTAGCAAAAGTGGCAAGCTATTAGCTAAACTGACCAAGAGAAAAAAGAATACTTAAATTATTGTAATCAAGAATGAATGAATGAACATTACTACCAACCTCATAGATATAAAAAGTATAAGGAAATACAATGAGCCAACAATATACCAACAAATTAAATTACAAATGAAATGGACAAATTCTTAGAAAGACACAAACTGCAAAAACTGACTTAAGTAGAAATAGAATATCTAAATAGATATTCTAGAAAGATATTGAAGCTGAGAGCTGGAAAAACACGAAAAACACTTCTAAACATTAGCTTAGGCAAGGATTTCATAACCAAGAACCCCAAGCAAATGCAATAAAAACAAAAAAAAATAGCTGAGACTTAGTTAAACTAAAGAGCTTTTGGACAGCAAAAGAAACAGTCAGCAGAGTAAGTAGACAAGCCTCAGAGTGGGAGAAAAATTTCAGTCTACACATCTGACAAAGGACTAATATCCAGAATCTACAACAAACTCAAACAAATTAGCAAGAAAAAAACAAATAATCTCATCAAAAATTGGCCTAAAGACATAAATAGACAATTCTCAAAAGAAGATATACAAATGGCTAAGAAACATATGAAAAAATGTTCAACATCGGTAATGATCAGGGAAATGCAAATCAAACCACAGTGCAATACCACCTCAGTCCTGCAAGAATGTCCATAATCAAAAAATCAAAACAAAACAAAAAGAGAAGTTGGCATGGATGCAGTGAACAGGGATCACTTCTACACTGCTAGTGAAAATATAAACTAGTACAACCATATGGAAAACAGTATGGAGATTTCTTAAAGTACTAAAAGTAGCACTGCCATTTGAATCAGCAATCCCACTACTGCGTATCTACCCAGAAGAAAAGAAGTCATTATACAAAAAAGATAGATACCTGCACACACATGTTTATAGCAGCACAATTCACAATTGCAAAAATGTGGAACCAACCCAAATGCCCATCAATCAATGAGTAGATAAAGACACTGTGGTATACATGTATGATGGAATACTACTCAGCCACAAACAGGAATGCATTAATGACATTCACAGTGACCTGGATGAGAGTGGAGA